AAGGATCTGCCCGGTCGATTTAAGCTTCTCCGTTCGATTTTTCTCGTCCTAGGTTTTCTAAAAACGAGACAGAAAAAAAAAAATGAACACGAACGGGAAATGATAAATCGTGTGTCAATGAGAGGAAACTTTGTATAAAAAAAAAAATAAAAACCAAAAAATATACATATATACATACATAAAATTAAGCGACGAAATCAATAGATTGACGACAAGGAATTACACGAATCCCTAATGATTGTGAACGAAGATTATGGCAGTTATACCAGTGAAACGATTAATAAAAAGTTGTATAATTAAACGTTGTAAGACGAAGTTTATATCTCTTTTGTACTTCTCTTTTCTTTCTGATTATTCATTTGAAACGTTTCTCTCTACGGTATATCGTTTCGTTTTCAATTCAGCTGCTGTCGAGTCTGGGATTGAATTTATTAATTAATTAGCCAAATTCCAATCGAGAGATTATTAGGCCGGCGCTGGGAAGCTTTCAATTAGCATAAAGATAAACTCGAATTAGATTTAAATTAAACAAACACGGCTGTTCTAGTACTTTAGGTGTAAAATTTTGTATTTAAAAGGAAAAAAAAAACATCGCATATAGAGTTTCTAAATGAGAAATCGAATTTTCTCACCGAGGGTAACTGAAATCGTTTAGTTGAATCCGCTCAAAAGAATTAGACTTACGCGTCGATAATTTTAAATAAATTGAACATCCTTGGGAAGTGTGCGGAGCGAGGGAACGATCATGGGAATTATTATTAATATAAAGAAGAAAAAAAAAAGAGAGAGAGAAAAATCGGGGAGGCGCGACGAAACAATTAAACAGTAACAATATTAAACGACGACGAAGATGCAAAAGGTTGACACTCAATTAAATTAATGGAGGGAGGAAAGGAAAGGAGTAAAAAACAAATCAACAAAAAAAAAATTATATTATATATATATGTATGTATGAAACAATCTTGTATTCTACGGATAAGTAATTGTTTTTTATATGCGACATAGTATATTACATATTATATTATAATTAACGCGGAATACGTATATACATGTATATGTATGCATATAAATTATGTAAAGGGTATATAAACATGTATATGTGTATAAAAAAAACGATGATGATGATGATGATGATGATGATGATGATGATGATGAAACAAGCAAACAAAACAGGAAAAAGAAACAAACGAAAGAATTATTAATATCGTATGAATTTAAATAGCGAGTACGCGTGAGATTTCAAATTAATTAATTAATTATTTTATGCGCCTGTGTACAGATATAAAAAACGTCATATGTGAGATGCATGTGTAGCGACGTTCACAAGTTTGGCAGAAATCTGTAATTTTTTTCGTACTTTGTGAACGTACAGGAATTTAATAGAATTAATCTCACTTTTAACACAGAGGAGGGGGTTTTAAATTTAATTGCTTGCGTTTAACGAAGCAACAGGAGTTAAACCGTAGAATTATATTTAATTGTTAGGTATGACTCATTGAAAGAAAGTTGTTTCTGCTGTTGATTCAATTGCTAACTAAATTATGATCAATCTGTCGTACTTTTGAACGTCAGTAACGTTCTTTATATACATACGCATAGGCACAGCGTACGCTTGTGAGTAAATCTGAGAAAAAGTGATTTAGAAAGTGAGAAAAAGGTGATATGAATGAGGGGGAGTATGAGAGAGAAAGATAGTGAGTGTGTCTGTGTAAATGAGAAAGGTGAGTGAGAGTTCGTTGAATCTGATCTAACGAGAGAAAATACGATTTGATGATTTTTAGTATTATAAACGTTTTTTCTGTACTATAGGTAGAGAGCCTCGAGTATCTTGCGAATAATACAGTATGATTTGGAGACATTGTTCGTTGAATTCTGTTTTATGGTCATTCGCTTGCGACGGAAAACCCTTGCAATTTTTTTTTCATTTCTCGTCCATTCTCTGCTCGTTCAACTTGGCAATATTCTTCTTTCGACTTTTATCAGCTCGTCTAAAAGACAGACTTTCTCTGACCTTTTTTTTAAATTAGGGAGGAGCGCTGTGTAAAATTTTTATGCCATGCTTTAATTAATTTAAACTTTTTACTTAAGGAACTCATACAGGAGTATTGTATAATTCTCCTTAACATTTTCTATTTTAATCGATGCAATATATTACCACATTATTTGATAAAGAGATGATAATAGTTTATTGATAATCGTTGAACTCATGAAACGACCTAACGAAAAGGAAAATTGCAATAGAATTTCTTAGAGTCGTTCTTGTTTCTCTTGGGTTTGTACATAAATTTTGCTGATGAGTTGTGCTAAATAGAATTTCTTTTAACAATTATCGCCATCTCGTTTATAAG